TATTTATGAATAATAATTTATTTCCATTTTCAAGGGACGAATCAAATAATTTTCTTCCTCTTTTGCGTCCTAAAATTACTCTCATATTATTAGGTCCGCGTGTTTCGCAACACCCTATATAGATATAATTCTGAAAAGGAATCGCTCGTAAACAGGACACGCGTATTCCTCGTTTTATCCAGCGAAAACCGCAGAATTGTTTTTTAGTTATCAGGGACGTAGATAGGTGTGTTGACGAAGGACAAACGACGAGCGAACGGGGGATGAAATCTGAGAATTCGTAGAAATTATTTATAAAGCGTCCTTCGAGAATTCCCCGACGGAGACAATTTCGTGCATTCGAAAGCGTGTTGTCGTCCTGATGCACCCGATGCGCAGGATATGCAGTATATGCTAATCGTATGCAGGGACCCGTGCGCCGCGCCGAATACAAATGCCAGCCACCATCTTTGCGACGTTCTAGCCTTTTCTTCTTTACACGATCGCTTATTCCTACCATCTATCGTGCTATGTGACGAGCTTCAACGGATTTTTCGATTAAACTATCAACGATAAATTTCATTTGAAATATCCTATTAATATTTATGTAATATTAATATTTATACTTTTATCGCCACTAATATTTACATACATATATTATTTTAGTGTATAATTCTGTTACATTATTCGAAATTTTATATTCCAATTTTAATTGTAATTCGCTCTTGTAAGCTATTAAAAGATTTTCAAACGAATGTACGCATTTCTGAATTTCTTAAATTGTTACACGCTAGACGCGTCAAAGATTTCGTTTATCTTTCGATGAACGATAATTCTTTCTTTCAATATTCTAATCATCGAATTATATATCGAAACAACTTCCAATTTGCGAATACAGCCTCGGTTTTCCGATATATTTGTAATATAATCAGCGTAAAAATTCTTCTCGAATTCCTCTTTCTTTTACAGTGTTCCTAAAAAAAAAAAGAAGTACATTTATATACGAATAAAGAAGAGAAAAGAGAGCAAGGAGAAAAAGCCACATCCCCAGATGTGACAGAACTTTGTCTCCATCCCTTGGCAACCGTTCAGATCCAAAACAAACGAAGACACTCGTATACTTAATATTCCACGTTCGTCCATCATAATTATAGGCATCGTCTAATTTCTGAGTCCGTACGTGAAAACAATGACGCGAACGTCGATCATTGGTGGGGGAAACGATTCGAATTCGACGATGGTCATTCCACGTATCGAATCGATCCTTTCGAACCGGTCAGTCGTCGACGATAAATCGAAGGTGTTCGTTCAATCCGATCCTCCGTGTCCTTTGAGTGAAATTCTTCTCGAGAACAGTTCATTTTATTTCTTTCTCCCTTTCCATTTCATCATCGACGATGAAAGAAAACACGAATCGGTGGTAAATACGCGAATAATTCGTGTTGGTGAATATTTGGAGGGTGAAACGGCACGCGCGAGAAAGAAACCGAATGAAGGAAATGGCCGAGAAGTTTGTCCCGCAGAAAAATATGGCGAACACGTGCGAAACGCCACGGTCCCGGCGACGAAACCGGCCGACTTTCTTGGATTTGTCCAACATCACGCGTAAGTGTCTCGTTTTGCTCGTAATTTATGTACGCCCGTGTCTTTCGACTTATTTCTCCTGTTTCGCATCTCGCAGCAAAAAGTTTCGTGACTTAGGAGATAACTCAGAGTCCTGGTTTTTGTCAAAATGATTTATACATTATGCTTTCTTTTTACTCTTTCGTGGAAGCTTCAAATATTTCCGTTTGTCTCTTATTGCGTGAAAAATTACGTACACTTGAAGTATAAACACGGATCTTTCGTATCTTCAGTGGATATAATAGTTTTTGAAGGGATCTGAAAAAATTCATATAATATCTTCAAACGTTCTAAATTAACATTATCGCACAATTTTTGACAAATAATTCGTTCGTATTTGTTGCACACATTGTACAATAGATATACAATTACAATTGTACAATAAATTAAAAAGTAAGAGTATGCTCGGAGGAGATACATCGAATATTTTTGCCTTAAATCCGAGAAATAGGATTCAGCAGGAACGGAGAGTAGTTGCAGAGACTGCAGTAAATATTAAATATAGGTAGATGTGGTAAATTAAAGATCTCGAGGTACGCGAATAGCCAGTCTGTTTGGACGAAAGTATATTAAGAAATGCATTAAAGGGTGCGCTGCAAGGGAAGTTTCTTTCTGCCTGATGTTCACTCGAGTACCACGATATCGTTGCACAGTTGCAATAATTGTGATATTGATATCTCATCAAGTTCTACTTCTTACGCGTCCTTATAAAGAATTTGTAAATCTGTAAAAGTAAACAGCAACGTAATCGAGTAAAAAGTGCATAGAAAGAAGAATTTCGACAGAATTCAACAATTTTTTAATTCGCGAAGGAGAATAAAAGGAGTAGAAAGCCGATCGACGTCGATTCGAGAGTGCAATAGCGGAATTATATTTTTCGAAAACATCCGTTATAATGCTTCCTGTCGTGCAGGCCAGGATCGTGTTACGAAGAGCGCACATAACGGCTCGCGACTTTAATCGTTTGCGACTATTAATTCGGTGGAAGACCGGATACGCCGAAAACGGAAGCCACGCGCGTCACGTAGCAAACGCAAGAACCTCCAACATGGCGACTAGAGAAGCCAAGTACGGGAAGGAAGATCTTTCAATCATCAATCCCCTCTAATACGTTTATAATTGAAAAGGAATATTCTTGCCACGAAAATATATTTTTTCTTTTACGTTTCCATTATTATATAACATATTCGAAGCAGAGTACTCGTTTAGTAATTGAGAGAAATTTCTGCTATTTTAATATGTTCATTTAAAAAATTAACAATAATAATCGAGTATTAATGAAATAATAATAAATGTTAACGGTAATATGAACAATCCATCTATGATAACTGAGAAGAATTCTCAAGAATATGAGAAGATAGAGACAAGAAGTTAGGAATATTATTTTTATCTAAGCCTTTTTTCTTTTAACGAGAGAGCAAAGTTTAGGCCAGTTCGACTCGATGAAAAGGTTGACGTTCGCATCACATTATGTGTTCAGGATGGAAACCACGTGTTACGAACACGGAAACGAACCCTTTGCACCGGCTATGGTGTTCTTCTATTCTTAACAGTGCGTTTATTTGTCCGCGGTTTTCACGGAAAACTGTGCGCGTACAGAGGAATAAGGGAGAAAATGAAAGTTTACCCCGTGCCCGGTTATTTTCAGAGTCTTCGTACCCCAGCAAGGCTATGAAGCTTTCCATTCTCCCATAACTCCATCATCGTTTCGATTCCGATGCATCTTTAAATCCTTACTCATTATACAACTATGTGCTTTGAAAATAATTCTCCTCAGTTTTTCCTCTTATATTTATTTGTTTCGCACTATGATAACTTTGCCGTTGAATACAGTTGTACAATTAAAGGCTATTAGCCAAACTATTTTGTTAACTTCGTTATTTTTCTCCAATTTAAAGGATATACCAAATTTATAAAAAATAATTGATTATTATAGATCCAAATCTTTTTTTTCTCTCTTCAGACTGCACAGTAGACACGAATAAAGTTCTGCTATTTTTCTATACAGAAGGAAAGGGAAAATAATTTTTCTATTGAAAGGAAAATAGAGAAGGAGAAAGTTGTATTATTCTTTGTGCCTGATATATGTAAAGACTTGAATAAATATGTTTTTAAGTCATCAAAATTCTTCATTCACAAATGAAACAAAACTTCCATGTTTCTCGGAATTTTGACATTCATAAAAAAAACTTTTGTTTTATTTAGGAGACTAATTTACTATTTACATTATTTTTACTTTATTTAAAAACTAACTAAATTACGTTAGTTAGTAAATGTATCTTATACGTACCATCTTACCTACATTATACAGTGTCCCATCTTTTACCATTTATGAGCTTAGTTCAATGAAACCTGTCGAACGACAATCGATAATAGACAGGGTGTTATAATCGAAAGGGATGGAAAAGAAGAAAAAGAAAGAGAAAGAAGAAGAAAGAGAACGAAAGTGAACTCTTTCTAGTTATTTTGGGATGCAGGGATCATAAGCCCTGGTGCGTTTCCAGTCGGTTTCTGTCAGATATCGATATCAACCGGCACAAAAGCCCCGTTGTACAAGAAACGATCGTGGTTATGGAAAATGGACGACCCCATTAATTATACCATTGTACGCTCGATAAACTCACGAGCTGCTCTTTCTGCCGACTACTGTGAAACGTTTAGATAAGCCATGAGCCTCAGTTTCGCGCGTTCACTGTTCCACGACATATTTCAAGGTTACCGACTCAAGTATCAATCACATACTTTGTAATTCACGAATTTTCGAAAAACGAAATTGATCAGCTTGCGATTGATATCTTGTGAGTGGGTCACGAGATTAATAATAATTTTTACGTTCCTGTCAAATCAAGCACTGACGTGGAAAAGATTCAATGAAATTGAAAGATACTATCTCTACTCATATCATTAACGAATCATACGAAATTAAGCGGAGTAAAGTATATTATTATTTTATCACGATGATCATCACTGATGATTCATCAAGATTTTCGCGTGACGGCGTTCGCCCGTGTTAATCAGACATCTCCGTGATGTCGTTTTCTCGAATAATGCGGAACAAACGCATTAGAAGGGTATTATTTCATTAACGTCGCGTGTCGCGAGCCGCATTAAGCGAAATTGAACGCGACTCCGCCGGGGGAGAAAACTAAAGCAAGGTGTGCCTTCCCGCTAATGGCTTGTACAAATTAACCTGATCGTTAATTAAGACCAGGTGTAAATAGCAGGAGTTATCGATTTATTTTACGCTGTTATTTTACCATTTTTTCTTTCTCTTTTCTCTATAATTATTCTACTCGAATTTAGTTTTTATAAATTGGTAACCTGCTTTGTCTTTACAATATTAAAATGAATAGACGAACGTACGACGAAGTTTGAGGAATTAAAATAAATTGTTGCAGGATCTCGTTCAGCGACTGGACTGTCGAAGATCGATTCACATCCCGAAGATGATGTACTGTTCGTGTCGAGCAAGGACAGCGAAATTTCGAGTCTGTGGGTCAATTACCTCACTGCCTGTTTCGAGCAGATCAGCAGGCAACAAGGCCGGCCGCCTTTCAAGTAAGCAGATCTTAGTTTCATGAATTTATTGACAAACGATTCGTATCATACAGAATTTCTTCATTAGGATTTTTCGTGCATACAATAAGAATTCACATTCGAATAAATGGATTTCTATTATATCGTTGCAAAGTATAACCATTCTATATAATTTCTAACATAATTTCATACTTCATAATTTCTAACTATGTTTCCATCATCGTTGATAAGTTTTTAATCACATCTCTTGAACTATTTCTCCATCAAATCGGAAATTACAGAGTTCGTCACGTAACAATCGAAGAATCGATGCAACCTGGCACCGAGGAGAGGATTCGATCGGCTCGCTTGCAGATCGTCGTCGTGTGTCCAATATTGTTGGAACGAGTGCAAACTCGGCCAGAACACGCGACGAATCTCTCCAGACAGCTAATCGCCGACAAAGTACTAGCGATGATGTTGGGTGTCCACGATAGTCACATCAGCGACGTCCACAAGTCGATTCTGGTCTCATACAATCAGTGGAGAAAATTCTTCGTGAAAGACCAGGACGAAACATTCGTTGGTGAACTTCTGGGTGCCGCGGTTGGAATTCTTGGCACAATGCCGCCTCCTGCGTTGAGGAGCGACAAAACCGCCTTTTCGGTTCATCCGAAAAAAGTGAAGCTGGTAGGTAAATCACTGCAGACAATTTCGTTGAATTAAAGCAAAAAGCTAAATGGCAGCGAACGATTTCATTAACTTCAAATAAAATTTTATCAACTTAAAGAACAAAAATACTTCTATTGCTTGTATGATACTTTCAATCCTGCATCTTCTATACATGTAATCGCTACAGATATACATATATATTTAAACAAGCTTGATTATGGAAGTTTCTGGGTTTAAGTGTGTTTCCAAGAAGAAGAAAAAAATATAAATTTAATATAAAAAGAAAATTAATACTTTCAGGGTCATAACAGGATAATCGCGTTGTTAAACGACCCATTACGACCTGAGGACAATGTATCAGTGATCGTGGATCGCTGCGGCGAAGCGATCGACATCGCCCACGTTAAACGAAGAAATCCCTATGCCCTGCAATTCTCCATTCCCGACAGATGTTTAGAGGTATCGATGTTGGTCGGTGTTCGTATAGCGAAGAATGGTTGTCCGCTTGGTGTGAGGCAAGTAAAATGCGAGAGCAGGCTCAGGGAACTCGATCAAATCCTCAGAGCCCATGACAATCCCCTAGAATTTATGTGCCAGGTAAATGCGAATAATAGTTTGATAGATTAAATTCGAAATTCTTATGATTATCCAAATAGATTCAAATCTGGTAAAAATTGAATTTCATTCGTAGACCTTCGGCTTTAATCCTGGTGATCGCGAAAAATTGGACAACTGGATGGTCCACGCGTTTCAACGAAACGTTCCACCGCATTTCAATCTCCTGTCTACGCCCAGTGGGGTAGTGTCTACCCAAAAAGTTCACTCAAGTGAGTATTTGTTGATTTGAAATAGTTTAATCATTGACAAATGTATCTGTTGAAAATATTAAATATTGTTTGTTTCGCTTGCTGGACTAATAGAAAGGCTGGTTGGTAAGAACTTATGAATCTTATTGTTAGGAGATATCCTACGATCCGGAATTTGAATTTAAACATTCAGATTTAGATTAAAATTTCATTTCATAGTTTTTAAGTCAAGTTCTGAATTTTTATACAGATATGATAGATTAAGAAGTAAAGTGAACTCTTAATTGTTCTAGGCCCCGAAGAGAATCCGACGTTGTTACACTTTGCCGCACGTTTCGGCCTGGAGAGATTAGCTTGGCAACTGTTGGAGTGTCCAGGCGGTGATATAGCATGCGACCTGAGGAACGTGTCGGAACTGACCCCTGCGGATCTTGCAGAGCAGGCAGGACATACGAGATTGGCGCATCAGCTTCGTGGCTACATGGTACAAAAACATCGCCTTTAAAGCGACATCACAGTTAGTCCAATGGAACCGGTACTTTCGTGATATTTCTCTATACCTAATTGCAAATTGTCGCTTGGACGATCCACCTTCTATTTTTCTCTAAACTCTGCGTCTAGCTGTCCGTAGACTTCCAATTGAAAACGTGATCAGTTAAAATCAGTTAAAATTAATTAACATCAGTTGGATTTAGTCGGAATCGGTTAGAGTTAATTACGACTCGTTAAATAATTAATTAATTATATTCCATGAAAATCAGTTATGGTCAATTGGAATTAGTTTGGCGACTCTAACTAGTTTCGTCCGGATTCTAATTACAATTAGAAACTTTAATATTCATAGAATATTGAGATATTGTTAACGAAGAATGATAGTAGGCTTGATTTATAAAATTTTTTACTGATCTTTTGGTATGTTTCGGTGAATTAACTGGTATCTTACTTTTGAATTGCATGTTTCGGGCTTCCCCTTGAATTCTCGCGCACGGTGCCGCAGCAAATGAACGAGTTCACCAACATGTACAGCTATTTGAAAGTGATCAGCGAGACCACTACAGACCAAGCGGCAAGTGAGTAGACCCTCTTTTATTAAAATCTGTATTTTATATCTTTTGAAATTTGTACGCACTTATATTTGAATCTATGGTCACAAATATATAATTATACAGATAAACAATTGCGATATACCCAAATATTTAAACATAAATAAGAATTCTAAATGATTGTGAAATGGTACCAAGATGGCCCAATATTAAGATCGAAACATTTTTCAGGCGCAGACCCATCGACAACTAACACATCAAGCGACACCAATAACGACAAGGAGGATTATTGTCGTCCACGACCCTTGAGCGAAGCCTATTCGGTGCCACCGGCCGCAAGACCAATAACGTCCTTGATCTTGCCAGGTCAATTATCAGTAACCCCTAGCCCGACCACCAGTAACCCCATTGAGGCAAATTATTCAATCGTACCAGCACCGACTCCCGTCATCGCCAGTCCATCAACACCAACGCCTGTGATGACCTCCTCGAACGGCTTTGAACTCCCTCTTCAAGGTTATATGAAAATGCATCCAGCTGGTAGGTAACTCTATAAAGAGATAAACGTAGGATATTTAAATTTGAACTATTGAATTTGTATATTTAAATTTGTCAAGTTGAATATTGAAATATTTGAATACTTAAATTTTTAAATTTTGAAACCTTGTAATGTACAAATAATTTTTGAAATATTCCAACCTGAGACATTTCCAAGCACTGTCGAAAAATTGATGTTTCCAAATTTAATTCTTTAAGGACCAAAAACACCAACGTCAAACGCAGTGAGCCAGCAGCCATCTCGAACAGCGACGCCCACCCAGAGTCGTTCAGATTCTCATCCCATACCTGCTCGAGAAGAAAATAGTCAATCCTCCTTCTCTTATGGTAGAACCACCTCCAATTCCAGCAGCACAAAGTCGAGGGAACCGTCTGGGCCTCAGGACGAGTTACTGGAAATCATAAACGACTTCAAGAACAACGTGTTCACGATAACCGAAGTGGAAAGATTGGTCGAGAACTGGAGGAATCGCAACGATGTTCAACAGAGCTTCAAAGACAAACAGAGGCAACTCACTGCGATGAGGGAAGAGTATGAAAGAATACAGAAAAGAATGAAAGAGGAAATGAAGGCTCCTACACCTTTTGACAGAATCAGAAAGTTCTTCTCCAAAGGAAAGAAAGGTTCGTTAGAGCAAAATACATATATTATAGATAATCCTCTGTTTCATAAGGTTCTAATTTATTTTTACTTTTAAATTGTAGATACGAAGGACTCTACGACCGGAAGTGACGATTCTTCTTCGACCAGTAAAGTGGAGAATGTTAATGGTGCCCTAACCGACCGTAGGCCAGTTAGCAGTCTAAGTCTCCGCAGTGTTTCAAGTACATATTTCGATAGTAAAGTTTGTTCTTTGGAGAGAAAATATTCTAATTAATTTCTATTTTCTTAGGCTCGTCTTCGTCTGGTAGAATGAGCACTGCCAGCGGATGCAGTGGGACCAGTTTAGGTGACAGTGGAACTCATTCTGATACTGAAGATCGACGAGTTAGTATTTAGAAAAATATATAATCGATATCTAAATAAAGAACTTTGAAAACCTTCCTACAGCTACAAATATTTTTATTTGATTGTAGAACTTGAAATTTCTGAATGAAAAATTATTTCAGTTACAAAATGCCAGAGAGGATAAAGCGGGTGTGATGTCGTACGAAATACCACCAGCTCCAAAGCCATTCGCAGGAAGGTATTCCCCGGCGCTTAGGTATTCCCCATCTCCTCGTTCCTCGACTGGAAACGATTTAGATTTGAGACCATCACAGCCACAATTACGAGGCGAGGATACCGAATACTACATCGCTTTTCCACCATCGGGATTACCCATTCACTGTTAGTAATCAAATAGTAAAATTTTAAGAGAAAATAAATAATTTCGATTAATACATACTACAATACTTAAAGATATACGCTAGAAGCAGTTTCGATTTTAGATAATTCCGAAACGATCAATCGTATTCTGATTAATCATAGATTTGTAATTTAAATTTTATTCCGAATAAAAGATTCTAAATAACACTTTTCAATAATGATCAACAGCTTTCAAGACAGAGGCTCCTCTGAAGGAACCAAAAACTCCAAGCTCCCCGTGTGATCATCCTAAGTACCTGGACTTGATTCAAAATTCATCGCCAGTCACTAATGACGCTTCAGAACCAGAGTCCTCCAGACATTCTGGCAACAGTTACGCAAACATTGACCCGTCTACGTTGAACCCAGCGCCAGTACCGCCTGCTGGCATGTGCATTCCAACAAATTACGTGAACGTGACACCAACGTGCGTCACCTCGTCTCAGGACACTACACAAGGTCAGCAAACCGAGCAGAGACACTCACTTGACTTAAATCATGTATCTGAAATCTCGAAGAATTCAACCAAGACCGAGAATCCCGGTCAGGCGGGGGAAAATAAGGTCACTGATGACGTACAAGGTCAAGACAATGTTTTGACTGAAGTTCAAGGTAAAAATAACGAGGAATATGTGGACACGAATCTGGCGAATAGTTTAGAAGGCGTGGATGTACCGGATACTGGTAAACTGCCGGAATATATGAACGTCGACGTTCCTCAGGATCAGAAAACTGGTGCCACGAAGAAAGTGCCTGCTCCTCCTGTTCCACCAAGAGGTAAAGTTACTTTTATCTCTTTTTATTTAAGTTATTCTGTTATTATATTATGAATACAATTGGTACGTATTAGGTTGGATAACTCATGCTTATACATTCTTCCCTATTTCCTTTGCATGTATTTCTGTGCATTTTTTTCTGGTATCAAATACTTTCTGTTTCAAGCATTTTCAAATGTACTACTTACATAGTATTTTAGTTTAATTTAGTAGCAGTTTAATGACATAACTTCCCTTGGATGAATGAGAATCATATCTCGTCATAACAAGCTATTTCAAGATAAAAGAATATACGTGACTAAATATAGTCACAGTATTTCTTAGTATTTACTCAATCCTTCTTCCATGAATTCTCTACTTGTAAATTTCAGCGAACCGTGTCATAAATATATCAAATATCTCAATTATTCTAACTCAAGGTTTATCCGTCCATCATATACTCAGAAATAGTTGAGAAAGAACTATTTAAGGAGCTTAAATTACATCTATAACCAAATGACCAAATGAAATTTTAATTTCATTGAAATCTGCTCCACGAATTCCTTACCAGTTTAGTCACTGGTCATTCCCTTTTACTTAGCGGGGAATCACGAAGGTTGTCGATTACTTTAATGAACTTTCATCATCATTTGCTACTTTTAATGCTATATATGTGTGTGCAAATCATTTCGCTCCTGCAATCGATTCATCAAAATTTTGTTTCTATTTTCTGTTACAGTTACCACGAAGAAGTAAAATAAGAAAGATTACCACGAATAGAAGCACTTGAAAAGAAGTCGTTCCTCCGACTGGAGACTTTAATGGGCGGGTCGTTCAAAAACAGTGCTCTCGGCGATCGTTTTTCATTGAGGAAATACTCGAGTATGATTTCAAGTACTCGACGTCAGTGTTCTTCGTAATCCTTAGTATTAATAGCGTATTTAACTGTAAATTGTTCGGTTCAAGATAGTCGCTATGGCTCATATCTTCTATGTACATTACCTTCGTTCTTTTATCTTTCTTTCTCTTTATTCTAATACTCAGTGAAGCGCGACTTAATCTGTAGTTTTTGTTTATGGTATTGTACTGCAATTAAGTGCGTTTATTGGTCGTTATTAGTCTAAAACTGCCTCGAATGCGTTACGAAAATAAAACCAATGTATAATTAATTATTAACTTGTTACTGTTATCGATAAGCGAAATATACTATTGTTCATAGTATCGAAGATATTTTTAGAGTGTCTTAAGTATATTATAAAATATTTTAATCGTTTCGATATTTCCATAAATTCTATTAGATTAGGAATGAATTTGGAGATCTCAAATCATTACGATCAATAAATTTGGGATCTTCAAAGATTTTAAGTTTAAGTTTCGGAACCCGAATCGTTGAGACAATTATTTTACTACGTTTTTTTAGGAAATTTAGGATATTGTTGATCAACAAGCATTCGAGGCTTTCTGATTACGCCACTAAGTTGTATATTATGTTAATTAACCGATGCTCGGATCTCGGTCCAAGAACGAATACAATGCTAGCGAGCGCCAAATCAAATTTTCATCTTTTGGCGGGAAGCCAAAATCGCAATCTGTACATACTGTCCTCTGCTCTATATTCTATTATTATTGTAACCAGTTTTCTATATAGTCAGTCCTTAGGATTAAGTTAGAACAATTTATACAACGATTGTTTAAAAAAAAAATGTCGATGACGCCAAAGACTGCGTTAAGAATACATGGCGTCGCGTAATCATTATGTTATTAATCATACAATTCATGTACCATACGTTGTAATCATTCTCTAGCGTAAACAATACTTTGTACAGGTGTCGAAATTCCTTTTGTCTTACGTCTTTATAAGAATGACGACGAAATGCGTTTCAAGTACCAAGGATGCATTTATCGTTTTGATTGTAATATCATAGTGTAGAATATTTCACAAAACCATTCTTTTTTATGTCTACCAGTAGAGATACTACTATGTCTTTTTTATATTTATGTTTATACCAATAAAACTAAAGATAATAGAAATTGCAAAATTATTTCAATCGGATCTTCGTGTTACTTCAATGATAATCAATTGATTATGAATTGATCATGAATGAATTACGTAGCATACCATAAACATAGTGAAATATGGAGTATTGATAGTATCGAGTATAATTTATGCATTGTCAGAAAGTCATAATTTTTATCAGGTGCATCTGCTGTGAGGAACGTTTCTAGGAAGCCGCGTTATTCTCAGAAATTACACGTTAAATATGCATTATGTAATTTAGCGTGTCCGTGTATGTAGATTTAATAGTAAGGGGGGAAAAAGCATGAGTAAATATTCTTGCCAAATCTGTCGTTAATCGGAGGTAAAAACCATATTTGTTAACACAAAGTTTGCAAAGTTTCGCTTCTCTTACGCATCATCAAACTTCTTAGATAATATTCTATAAATGTTATTAAACTTAATAACAAAATATCGATGAAATTGTTAATATGAATAAAAATGGACAAATATTCATATTAAGAATTATTTTTTAAAAGATGCCAGAACCTAACACACTGTTACAAAATATGTAGATACTTTAAATGTTGCAAGCAAAATATCGTTGAAGTACAAATGATGTCACGCTCATGTACATACAGCAAATGTGTTTTTTTTTGAATAAAACATGCGATTGAATATTCATCGACAGTATCAAACGACCTGTCGTGGTATCAACATCACGGCCAGGAATATCCAAGCGTTCTAAAATTCTCGAAAAGTACCTATTCAATTATTGACGGCGAGTCGAACAACGTGTCCTTTCTTTCACGAAGGACGATTATCTTTGGACATAAAGGTATTTTTACTCTTTGATTAAAAAAAAAAGCACTTGAAATGAAAAATATATGAAATAAATGCAACGCAGATCTTTTTATATTTGTTTAAAGAGATATCTATGAATAGAAAGTTGTAATTCAATTATCTTTTGCTACAAATTCTGCTCAATCAATCTTCTTATCTTCTTATCTTATCTGACTTCTTAACTCTTTCAATATTTACAGTAAATCTAAATTCTACAAATTCTATGTTAAAATATATCAGAATACACGAAATCGGTAATCATCCAAAGCTACTAATAGAAATTAATATTTATTCAAATATCCCACCAAAGAAATTCATATTCACTTATGTAGATATTCTTCGAAATCTAATTAACAAGTTAACAAATTTTTATCGCAATATTTATATATATATTATACTACTGTATTGATGTTAATTTCTTGTAATGATAGCTTTCATGGATTGGCAAACCAAAAAATTTGGTTCATCTCTCGTGCGAATGAAATGAAGAAAAAATATAAGGAAGAATCTGTAAATTTATATTACTAATATCTATAAATCTCTGATCCATAAATTTAAATTTCTAATTATTATTAAAATAAAAATAAAGAAAAAACTATGCCGCCCCCAGATCAACGATCCGGAAATGATCTAAACTACAGCCCATTCATTTCGTCAACTCTGGTGCTCGCAGAAACCACTATCTATCTTCCTTCCGCTCGATTTAGATTTCTCGTTAATTTGCCACGCTAATTACCGTTGCGGTTCGACATCCGAGGTAGGTCCAACGATCCCCGATTTCCATTAAGGAGTTGCAACGTGCTCGTTACGTTTATCATTGAGTGGGGATCGATCTTATATAGGAGAGAAATTCTTCTCTCTTCAGCAAAAGTCTCGATCACCTGTTTCTTCGTTTGTCAACCCACGACTGAGAGTCAACGGTACCATAATCGATCATATTTCAGTTTTGAAAGCATTAACACAAAGTAATTTAGTACGTCTGTGCGATTTTTTAAACAATTTATGAAATACGATAATTATTATTAACAAAAAATAATAGTTGTGTTTACCGAATTTATGAAATAGTGGAACTCCTGTTAGAAAAAATAAATATTTAAAATAGATATTCTTTAAATGAAAATTTCACGAACAAAGTTTTTATCAAAATAATCGAAGTTTTTACAAACACATGCGTTTTTCGTTTTTAGTTTCGAGTAAGCTAAGTGAGTAAAACTAATTGAAAAATGAAATTGCTTACGATGGTCTTGGTGTCTACGTTGTCTTTGGCCACAACGCTTGCTCAATCCAGGTTTGTTTCTATCTTGTTTAATTAATTAATTGATTGTTTATGATGAACAGATTACGGATTTTTATGCATTTATGGAAATTTAAAGACGAGAAAATATATAAGAGTAGACATAGAATATTCAAAGTATAGTAGCTCTTTATAATATCTAATAAGTTTGTGGTGAATCAAATCTCTCATTAAATCCTACTGTTTTAGTTATGTTCTTAAAAAAAAAAACATGAATTTAAATAAATACTCTCAGTCTGCTAATGAATCTTCCTCACGCAATTGAAATAATGTCTTCAGGTACGAACCTTTCGCTGAGAAACCAGGTTCCTGTCCACCACCTTTGCCAGTGCAGATTTGTAGTCAATCTTGTTTCTCTGACTCACAGTGCTTAGGAATTGGCAAATGTTGTCCAACCAATTGTGGAGGCTTTGTTTGCACAAAACCTGTTACCATGAGGCAAACAGTTCCTATCGGTAAAGTGACACTGTAAAGCAATTAATAACAAAGTTGATAACTAAATTTTATGTTAATTAATTGGCAGAAACGGTATAAAGTTATTCAAATTCTTAATAACTGAAAACCTTTTAAAAATGCCTAACTTTGATTTCAATTATAGAATTTGATTTAATCTGTATATTTAGAGAAACCAGGTTCGTGTCCAGCGAAACCAAAAGGAAGATGGGTGTGCTCACCAACCTGCAGTGTTGACAATGATTGTAGAGGAACAATGAAATGTTGCAAAAATAGGTGTGGAGCATTGGCATGTCAAAAACCAGATGTTGAGGTGGCTGAATTTGCAGACGAATCGGAAGACTTTTATAATAATCCCAGGAATCCTTACATCAATTCTAGAGATCCAAATAATTATCTACGTTATTATTTCAATAAGTAATTAAAATAATTGCAGATCGCCATAAAATATTAACAGGAAAATATGATTCTCTTTTTATTTAATCTTTTGTAAATAAATATATCCTTGTGCCATATCTTGTAATTGTTACAAAATTTGTGATAATTGTGAATTAAAAATCTTGCTCTTAACTAGATGTAGTAATTAATATATATCAGACTTTATGGTACTCTTTTTATACCCCTTTTTAAACCATCTAATTTTTAAATTTCTAGATTTACAAATTGATCGATATCTTAAATAATAGATAACAATGCTTGTTATACATATATGCGCGTTTGTAATTGAAATAAAATGTTCTATGATGAACCTTCTAATTTCTTAAATGATTTCTCAGAAACAAATTCATTGGTAAGCGGTTTTATGTAAAGGACGCGTCACCTTATTAGCCTATTGACCTGAATTTGCATAGATCCTTGAAGAATACATTCACGAAATCCAAGTAGAGAAGGTCATTAGCAAAACGGACTAAATGGAGGATCGTTTCTAGTTTCCTAAAATCCTAGGAAATAATCGTTAATATAAGACCGTATCAAACTATTTTATTGTTTGAAAATAAATAAAAAGAAATATAAAAAAAAAACATAAACTGCTAGAAAAATTAGATAAGAAACAGAAAAAAGATGACATCTTCATTTCAGAAAAATTCAGAAAATCCTACTTACTGTATAAAAATTTCTCTTACATATATATTATAAAAAGTTCAAAAATTTTGTCAATATTAATTTAAAACCAAAAGAAAGTTCAAATGCTTTATTCAAAAAATCGAATTATTTTGAATATATTATTTTAATCACAAATGGTGAAATTTTCCAGTATTGATTTAAAAATAAAAAATATTCAAATAGATACAATGTAAACGCGTTTATTGTTGTCGCTTAATACATCTAAAATGGCTTGTAATAAAATACATAAAAATACGTAATTTGTATCAATGAAAGAATGATCTACGAACCTGAAGTCTGTATTAGTTCCACGTAAATTCACGTATTCAATTGAAATACCCAACTACATTATTCGTCGAACAGTTGAGTCACAAACGTAAAAACATATCAATAATAGTCATAAATGCATTCATAAACTGCAATGATGTCGGGAAATATCAAGAAGTTGAATCAGCTGGTTCCCTACGTACCGCCGTTTCACGACATGTTCCTTTCGCTGACCGCAGAGTAGAGGTGGAAACGAATGAGATAATGACATAGAGATTGTTATGTAGATAGATAAGGAAAGAAAATGACAGAGAAAGATTTAAGAATCTGAACTCTTATCACGCACCAATTAGACGTTGTTCATCTTGCAGTTGAATAGATCTGGTGATTTTAAAATTGTGGAAGAGGATCTTCGACAAAGAACAATGCATAGTATGTGTGTTTATGAAAATTGAGACTTTTACATAAGGTGTTTCAAGTTAACAAAAAGTTAATGTGAGTTAAAGAGACAATATCATCGAAGAGATAACTTTGTCGTTTCCGAAAATGAAAAAGGCTATCTAAAAAGATAAATTTTTCTACTTTTTGTTTGTATTGAGACATCTTGTGCATTAATACATTATTTTATTTTTCGAACTTTTGAATAATCAAGTGTATATCATTATAGAGAAAGGAATAATTATGGTACTGGCTGTGTGCTTATTAATCGCTGTGGCAGACGCTCAGCTGTCTCGTAAGTTAATTGATCACCTCTATGTAGATATATTATTTACTGACATTTCATATAAAACTAATAGAACTTTTCTTGCTATTGAATTATTAATTTATTTCGAACGAATGCGATAATGTTGTAAATATAATTCTATTATCTATAATTAATATCGACATATTGACACTTTAATTGAGTATTAACTAATAATTTGTCATATTTTATATCTCTCACGTATATCTTGATTATGCTTATTACCAATAAATGTTTTACTATGAGAAATATATACAGATACGTTCAGATATAATCGTCGATATAACGACTGAGAAAAATCAATATGACTGTTCATAAAAAATGATTTCCTACAAATTCTGTAAGATATTTTGGTTCATCCTATATCTCATCTATGATCACATGTTCTGTCTTTTGTCAATCATAAAATATAAAGATAATACTACATTATTACTATATTACCATGCGAGTATTTCAATATAGCTTACCTAACAAGTATTTATTGATCTATTTGACAATCTTGATGTCGTATAATTTGTTTAATATTAGAATTAATCGAAATGAGTTTCTATTTTCAAAAATGGCGCATTAAAATTATCTTTACGCAAAAGGAAAATTCATCATTTACAATTTAATCATTTTTTTAGATAAAGAAGGACATTGTCCATTAAGAAACAGTGTTTCAAAATGCACTCCTAAATGTGTTTCGGATTTTCAATGCTCTTTTAATGAGAAATGCTGTCCAAATAAATGCGGAAGTGAGTCATGTGTTTCAGCGAGTCCCGTTAGTACCGGCAATGGATATAAAGGATCATCGAATGGTAAAAGAGTTTACATAATTTTTTAAGATTTATATCTTCTAAGATCCATAAGAAAATTTATTTTTCAGACGACGTTTATTGTGGCGGAGTAAAATGCGGTCCGTACCAAAAGTGTAAATTCGATCGTAGAACGAAACGCGAAAAATGCGTTCGTACATAAACGATTCTCTGAAATATAACAATATTATTTTTTTATAAAATAAATAAACATTTGTTTTAATTACTTTACTTTGTACATATATATTTTATTCCTCTCGTGAATATAATTTAAAATTTTGTGAAAAAATAATGAAAGATTATACATAAGTTGTTAATAAATATAATTTCTAAAGGTTTACAAAAATTAAAATTTAAATTGCAAGATGGTCGAATTACGATTAATTCTGATAGCAACTAGCAACCTGTTGAAAGTTTGAAAACGAGTCGACAGTCGACACATAGATTTTAATCGATATTTCTCGATAACCTCTTTATTGTTTTACGAGAAGCTGTGTGCCGGATGGAGAATATACTTATTATTAGCAGTTATTAGTGTTTATAAAGTATGTACAAAGTGATACGACAGTAAAATCACTTAATTCTAGATATTTTTCAGCAAAATGGCATTTGATCAGTCTTGATTCTTTGTAATAAAAACATATACAATTTATTATTATATCATTGTAAAAGAGGTTAGATCTATGCCGATATTACGATGGCAGTAGAATTTTTAGTAAATCGTTTGAAAGCCCTCATCGTATTACTTCTGGGAGTATTTAGGCGTGCGATGTGCTGTCTTCGACGTCGAAGAAGGTCGTCTTGTGATTCTATACCTCTCTCCACGATCGGCGTAGTACCAAACACCGTAAACAACACAACACAACCAGTGAGTTTCGAACATTATCATTCACCTTTTTTTAAGTTCATTTCTTTTGCAACGATTCAAAAATTATGAAAATCCTGTTGTACCATTGACTCCGATAATAGTAATCACTGAAGATGCTTGCTCAAGGAATTAGAGCACTGGGATCAATGGGAAGAAAATCCTGTCGTGGTCGTGCCAGATAAACCAGTTAACACGGTACAAGCAAAAATTGAACAATACAGACAGCAAGTTTCTAAACTGCCAGAATCTACAGAGGAGCAGCAACCAAATTTTTTTGAGGTAATTATCTCTATTGCTTTAACAACTGGAAAATATCTATATCTAACTTCTTATATCTATCATAGAATATGACACCAAAGATTACAACACAGACAAAGATTTTAGTAAAAGATAAGGCTTCGGAAAATACAACCTGGAACGCATCAAAATTTGCCATGGCGAATGATCTCGTGCCATCTGTATGTTTATATTTCTTATATGACTATTTTTAATGAGAAGGAACTATATAATTTCTGAAATTATATTTACATAGAACGAGCTAGGAGAATGGGAAGACAATGCTGTTGGCTGGGAAGAAGAAACAACAAAGGAATTTGGAGACCCCACAAAAACATTAAGAGAACAGAAGCGAAGAGAAAGGGAGCAACGGCTGTTTGAGCAGCAGCAGAAAAGAATTGAACGCAATTCAAGACCTCAACCATTAGGTGCAAAACTAAATTCTTGATGAGAAAGGATATAGAAACAAAGATTTACATCAGAAATGATAATTTTTCATTCGATGATGTTCATGCACAATGTAATCTTTTTACAACTGCATGGAACGTCAATTAAGATTAAGAAAAATCAAAAGTCATTGCTTGTGCTATGAGTTATATGTTTTTTTGTAAAATTTACCGAATTGTACCCTGTATAGGAAAACATCGCAATAATATTATTTGAAATGTCCAAATTTATATTTTAATGCGTTTACTAGTTAATTGATACATCGCATCTTACGCATTTAATTCCTTGTTGGAAATTACCTGAAAATCACTGAATGGTATTTAATGACACGTGAAATATTGAACTTTTTAATAGAAAACAAAAGAACTGACTTATTTACATAACATATTTACGTTACAGAAACTACGAATGTTGCATTGGTAAACGATAATATTGTTACTTTTGTTATTTAAATTGCTTTATTGTTAAAATGTTTATAACGTCTAGGGACATTCCATGTAAATAATCTTGTAATACCACGTAGAAACTGATTTTTTATAATGAAATCGGACTATTTTTAGAAGGTGAAAAAATAGAATAACTAATCTCTTCGCAAGTATGAATTCCTCTATTTGATTATTTTCTTAATCATACCGATATAAAACCGAGAGCATGTTCATTGAATTTGTAGCGGTATGAAATAAATCATATTACTACACATACTGTTATTAAAAGACTTTATGAAAACCTCCAACAAATGCAAACAAACATTTTGTGATATATTGTAAGTATGTCTAATAAGCATTTGATACTTGTGCTGCTTTTAAAATGCCTTTTGTATGGGATTGTAAGAGGAAGTAGCAATTATAGGGAACAAGGGAAATATTTGATATTGATAAATGAGTATGTATTTGATACATATAACTTTTCGTGCTTCGTATGACGTATATACGATAAAATGTATCAAACAAACTTCCCCCTATGTACAGGGAATAAGGGGCTTGTGTCCAATCAGAGATAAGTCTAAAGTGAAAAAGATAAGGACGGGCGAAAATCACAGGATAAAGTAATATCGTTCGTTCATACAGCCGTTCGTTTTACTCCAGTTATTGAACTGTTACCAATTATTTAGAAACTATACATATATTTTATAACGCGCTAAACATATTGTATTATCTATATCGGTTAATAAAATAAACTGGTAAGTATGTATAAAAGAATATTTATACTAAAAGCTTATAATTCAGAATTCCTTCATTTGAGGTATTCTGACAGAAAAAAGACATCACAAATAACTATATAACTATTTACATAAAATATTGTATTGCAATTTTAGAATTAAATGGTGATACATAGGACATACGCGAACCGTGTAAAAAATTACGTTGATAATGTAATAAATAAGAATTCAATAATCATAATTACCACGGCATTGAATAAAAACTAGTGAAAGCGAGTTATTATCTGTGAAGTCTATACCAAAAAAAACTGGCAAGATGAACAAGATAATGAAATAGTAATATCTGATTTCAGATACTTAGATTTTAAGAGTTTTGAGAAAAGCTGGAATTTCACTTCGCAGAGATACTTCAAAAAAATGTGGGGATAGTAACGGCCAGTTAAAAAGACAGAATTCCGGCCAATTAGCAAAGTATTGCTATACATCACGTCTATCACGCACGATACAATCTTGTTGTGTACGTGGCCAGCGACGTACACAAACAAAAGAATATTAATTAATAAGAAAAAGACCATACTAAAAATTCTACCTGCATGTATAAAGAGATAGTAAAACAATGATATTTGATTTCAGATATCAAGCTTTTAAAGTCTGAAAAGCTAGAATTCCACTTCATAGATATTACTTCGAAAAAATGTGGGGATAGCAACGGTCAGTTAAGAAGACAGAATTCCGGTCAATTAGCAAGGTATATACTGTTACTGTGTACGCATGGCACAGGTTATACGTCACGCACGTTACCATCTTATTTGTGTACGTGGCCAGCGACGTACACAAACGAAAAAATGCAATAAGTGGCATCGATACACGCGGTGACGTACGCTTGAATTCTTTGTGCTTCGTTATATGTATAGTTCAGTACAACCAACTTCACACAGTCTACATCATACGTGTACACGAAATGATGGAAAAGCTCGTTTGACAGAAGCCTATCACAAAAACTGCGGTGATCCATTTTCAGGATTTTCCAACTGAATTTCCTTCATCTTCCTTGATTTCTCTTTTAATATCGTCTCTTGATGATCGCATTCGTGATCAACAAAACGTGCGCGATTATTCGATACTTTTCACCTTCACCCTTAACGACATATGCAAATTCAAAATGTCAACATCAGAAGGTGAGCTGTTCGTCAGACCTATCTACGAACGATACGATGGACGTTACTAACTTTTTGAATCTCGTTTTGTACCCGTTTACGTAAACAGTATCGAATTAACCTCAAATTAACGGGACGATTGTTAATCGTTCCTTTAAAATATTTTCGAACGAAAACTAAATACGTACATAGATGGTATGAAATTGTGGCGCACGAGTAATTTCAGAAGTACATATTAAGTGACAATAACAAGTGTGTTTACATTGTATCTTTTCAATCCTTCATTTATTTTTAAATCAATATTGAAAAGTATTTTTCGATTTTAACTATATACATATGTTGGACGGATAGGATCGTTGATACGGGCAATCGTAAGCAAACAAAGCATGAACATGAAAGAAACAATGTTATGCCATTCTTATTCAAATTTTTTCTTCTACGTACAATTTTCCTCTACAATCGCGTAGTATACATATTTCTCGGAATGTTAAGAAAGAAATATTATTTTATATCATTTTTGTCGAAAATAATATAACACTTGTCGATCATATGTTACACAGAACGATTAATACAGTTACTCTTGGTAATACAGATAAAACAATCTGTTTTTAACAAAACCACAAAGCCACGACAAATCGTTGAACCAGTCGATAACCACACGTTGCGATTTATTTTTATCAGAGTAAAAACGCAACTGTGTCTGAGAGAACTTAGTTATTCTAAGAAACGCGCGGGGTTGATATTGTAGGTTGTGATCAACATATTTGTCTAAAGGTTACCTGATTTTTTTTTTAGGCAGAGGGATACATTCTTATCTAAACACAATGTGCTGCATGATAAGAGCATTTTTTAATGGCAATTGCCTCTTATGAATCACTTGTGATACCAATCAGTACTGGAATAATGTAAGAAGGATCAAGTATATGTGATACATAGTCGTCTATTTTTATTGTAAATTACAATAAAACATTGTAACAATGGGTTCTATAGCCTTGGAGGAGTTTGAACTCATGAAAGACTCTAAATATAGAGTGTAAGTAAAGTGTTTCATCTGATTGTTTATGTATATTCCAGTCTATTAATATAAAACTTTCCAAAAAGCAAATATAATGACATTGTTTCTAATTATGTTAATATTTACTAAAAGAATATTTGTTCATATGTAATTAAATATAGCATTGAATTTTAATCTTCTATGCAAATTAAAGAACGTTATATTTTATACAGCTATGTGTCAGCTGTTGACAAAGCTCTAAAGAGCTTTGAATATACAAGCGAATGGGCAGATTTAATTTCTGCACTTGGAAAATTAAACAAAGTGTTATTAAGTCATATGAAGTTTCCAGTTATTCCTAGAAGAATTAAGATATCTAAAAGATTAGCACAATGTATGCATCCTGCTTTGCCATCCGGTGTTCATTTAAAAGCTCTAGAAACCTATGACATTATTTTCAAGTGTATGGGCACTAATAGACTGAGTCATGAACTATTTATATATAGTGCTGGTAAGATTAACATTAAACAATTAATCCTTCCATTGCATACTTTAAATTTATTTATTAATTTGTGTTCATTAATTTGAACTTCATTATAGGTCTATTTCCTTTGTTGGGTCATGCTGCTATGAATGTAAGACCATCTTTGTTGACAGTATATGAAACTCATTTTGTACCTCTTGGAGAGAGATTAAGGCCTGGGTTAAGTGGATTTTTAAGTGGTGTTTTACTTGGTTTAGAAGATGGGTCTGACCACTTTGATAGGTAATAATAAAATAAAAACAATGTAAATCATAAGACAAGAACTAAAATATTCTCTTAAACTTTATAAATTTGTTTCTTTAGAACCAACTCCTTGCTTGAGAAAGTATGTGAGGGAGTAGGTCCAGAACATTTTTATGCATGTTTGTGGGATTGTTTAGCTTCAAATTCTGGAATCCGATTACCTGCTATATCTTTTGTATTAGCTCACTTCAACAAAAAACTGCCAATGGAAGAACAAAAGTACATCATGGGCACAGATACTAATATTATGGTAAAAATAAAAATTATTACAAGAGATCAAATATCATTTGTATTTTAATGACTGATTTATACATGAATATTAATTATTATTAATGAATTAGGTTACTGCTCTTTGCGCTGGAGTACAAGACAGTTCTGTGTTAGTACAAAGGAGTGCTTTGGATTTATTGTTAGTTGGTTTTCCTGTACATAATAGTCAATTAACACATGAGCACATGGTATCACTAGTCACAGCTGCTCTTGTCACTATATTGAGGAGAGACATGAGTTTGAATAGGTAAAGTAAAAAGATAAAAGAATGTACATAAAATATATTTAATGGGACATTTTATAAAATTAATTTATGTGTATATATCATAGACGATTGTTTGCATGGCTTTTGGGTACTGAAGTAAGCACATCTATTTTGAAGAGAAGAATGGAAACTAAAGTTTTAGAAAACATGGAGAATACACCTACTTATTTTGATATGTACTCGAAGGAAATGCTAATTGAAGCAATAAAATCATTGTTAAAAGCTGTTTGTGAGGAAAGTCCACAAGATTTAAAGCCATATAGAATACTGGTTTCTTTATTAGAAAAGGCAGATATTGGTCCAGTAATTTTGGATGATATTTTATTTGAAGTTTTTAGGTAAAACAACATATTCAAAACTAATATTGCAAATTAATCTCTTCAATGATATAAAAACTTTTATTTTTTTATTCATAGGACATTTTATAACGCCTGCGGTCAATCAAACAGAGTACCAAAAACAAACGAAGTAGTAAAATCAGCAAACTTGTTATTTTCAACATTAGAACCATCTTACGTATGGATACATTGTGGCCATCTGTTTGAAAAGGCTTGTCAAGGTAGAGCAAAAAGTAAACAAGAAACAGAAGACATTGCCGTGAGGTCTGTAGGTTGTGGAATGCCGAATTTCTTGGAAGTGTGTATATTGACTGAATTTCTGCTCGATACTGTGTCGTTAGATGCATTTATAGACACTCCTTCTGAGCATCTGCCTGGCTTATTCTACGAGATCATTAGTAAACTTTTGTATCACATCGATCTTTTATCTCCTATGGAGATCTCGAGAAGTCTTCGATTGTGCGCGAAAATTCTGACAAAAGTACAGCCGACGGTGGTTTCAAATCATACGGAGAAGAACGAATTGGAAACGAAATTGGATACAACTACGAGTACTACCACAACAGTCAATGATAACTCCTTAACCGCAATTCCTTTGGAAAAGAGCCAATCCGATAGTAAATTGAATAAACCGGACACAACTAGCGGTTCGTTTTCCGAGAAAAGTCCCAGCCCTAGAAGAAGAGCAAACTCGGGAGGTGCCACCAAACGATCCGATAAAAAGTCGAAAAAGAAATCTAGTAAAAGTATCTCAAAATTAAGCGACTCTTTACCAGAACCAAGTACCAATATTTCGGTAGTCGTGGATGCAGAATCTAAAGGTTTGCCAAGAAATAAAAGTATGGACGATATAAAGACCGAATACATAGAAACGAGTACCATTAATTCTCCATCTAAGGATCAGTTGACTACTTTGAAACAGTCAAGTAAAAGTAGTCCTATGGGCTCCACAGGATCCTTGGGTAGAGGACCGTCTCCTGCGTTTCAAGCGCAACATTCGATGTTAGAAAAATGTTTAAGACAGTATGAGACTTTTTACGTGAAATTAGTTAGTAATAGAGTATTGACTAAAGAGAGAACGGTTCAAAATATGTTCGATAATTTGATGATACCGTGTCCAAGGGAGAGTTTCGACGAGAGAATGCGATATCTAGAACTTTTATTAAATTCTAGATTAAATATGGAGGATTCTGGTTTCTTCAGCCAAGATATTTCTGTAATGGAAGATACCAAACAGTTAGACATTCTTCATCTGTATATTGATTCTATTTCACAAGCAGAATGGGATGACGCTATGAAAATGGCCTCCAGCTTGTTTGTTGAACTATCTACATTTCCTAAGTATTTTCTTCCTGGTGATGGACTACTTGTAGAGGAAGAACCGAAGGGAAATATTATTCTTCCAGATTGGTTGAAAGTTTTAGTAGTTTGTACTTGTTGGTTGGGAAAACAACCTGCTTTACAATTAACCAGTATTGCTACTTTGTTAGATTTAGTAGCTTTGTTAAAAGCACATAACGACATTGAGACCTACCCAAAAAGCGGGGAGGGAGTTACAGCTGTAATTATGGTGCCATTATTGAAACAATGGCATATAACTTACTTGATGCAATATACTAACGTATTTCAGGTATTCATATACTTCTTTAAATAATTTTTATATCTATTTAAACTTAGGATAAGGACTGCTTGAGATCTAAAATAAGTATATTTATTAAGGTACTAGCACAATCCTTATGGCATCATCTTGGCGAATTACCTGCACATAAATACAGAATGCGATGTGTTGAATTGTTGCACGAACTGCATCATGCTTTACACAATTCCTGTGATGCTGTAGAGGATGTAATTGGACTAGCACTCACGTCAGAAAATATAGAGAAAAGAATAGAAGCGTTCAATAGGTTTGCCACATTATGGCATCTCGGACGTGAAATTGAAACGAACCCTAGATTGCGAGGTTGTATGAAATCTTTCGATCGGTACGTTATATTATTTTTAATACATTTTTTAGTAATCTTCTATCTCACGTATTATTAATGTAAATTGTTCTACAGATCATTGTTAAAAATACTGGATAATCTACAGCTCGCAGACAACTCTCCTCTAAAGCTTCATGCTCAATCATGGCTTCTGCACTCCTTAATGCGAGGTGATGTTTCACGGGTAGTAGACCCGTTATTGATAATACTCTTAGATCCATCTACCTGTCGTATGAGCGTGCTGCATGTCAGTATACAGCATAGCAATACTGTTTTGACGAAAAACGATCCCATAGAAGAAAAGTCTGAGATACAAGATGATACAGAAGGTGCAGCAAAAATTTACGCGATCAGTTCAGTAGACGGTAATGTGATATACCACGTTAGTGATAGCGTAGATGAAGATAAGAAATGGCGTAAAGGTAAAAAGAAGAAAAAGGCCATAAATCCTGTGAAAGTGAAAAGAATATTTGCCGTAACGACATTGGCCGCCGGTGATAATTGTAATCAGTACGTAACCGAAAAAAATCAATATATGAAAGAACTAGAAGTACCTCCTAGCATATCTGGTAATAGAAAGATCTCTGTTTTTGTGAATCCTTTGTCGCTCAACTGCAATGAGAATTCTAATGACTCTCTGACAGAGGACGATTTGTTGCCTAGTGTGAAAAAGGTAAACTTAAC